TGTTATTCACGGAAGGTCATTATGTTTTAGTGCTATTTACGTAAATTCTCCAAAAAGAATCTTTTTCTCCCTCTTTCTTCCTCTTTGCTTCTCTATAAATCGAATCATTTTTTTAAATTCAACACAAATACAAATGTACCTCTATCTATCATCTTTCTTTAAAAAATACTCCCTCCGTTTCTTAAAACCCTTCATCTTTCATTTTTTTGGTTTTCCTTAAAACACTTTTTTTTTCTATTAAAAAACCACTTTTACCCCTACTTTTTCATACCTCACATATCACATCATACTTTTTCACTAATAACTAAACTATCACATCTTACTTTTACCCATCACATCAGGGGCAAAATTGGAAAGTCAACTAAAATTACACTTTCTTTATTTTGCCCCAAAGTCAAAACAAGAACCGTTTTAAGAAACGGAGGGAGTATTATTCAAGTATTTTATTTATTTTTATCAAGAATGTAATTTTTTATTTAATCAATTAATTTTTTTATTTAATAAATGTAATTTTTTATAATGAATGTAATTTTTCAAAGAACTATTCTCGCTTCAATTCTTTTAAATGATTTAATAATTAAATTTTATTAATTTAATTTTAGAAGATGTGTATTTAAATGTGTTTAAGCAGTTAGGAGTGGTACGACGATTTTAAGTGCTACGTACAAGGAACGAGAATAACTTTTTAAAATTGTGAATCTCAATAAATATGGTAAATGAAATAATTAAAATACTGCATTATAATAAAATGGTATGATTGAAAGAAATACACACCATAAATAGCCAAATATGTGAAAAACAATAAGGAGTGTTATTTGTATAATGTTGGGTGCATGTCTTAGAGTCCTACATAGGGTGATTTCTATGTTTTGTTTTGAGATGTAATAGTGATGTGCATGTATGTTGTAAATATTTTTTGGTGGTTGAATGAAGACGTGCATTTGTTTCAAAAAATAGACAAGTTGAATTAATTTATAAACTATAATTATGGACATAATAGTAATAATAGTAGTAGTAATGATAATAATAATCACGTGAAAAGTATAATAACATTTTTAGAGTCATTCTTTGAAAAACTAGAAAAAATCAAAAAAATAGGAATAATTAGAAAAATGAAACTAGAAATTAAACTGTAAAAACTGAAACACTACTACAAAAAGTGGCAAATGCATAAGTTATTTTAGACCAATTGCATCAGTTTTTTTCTGATGCTAATGCACGCGATGTAAAAAGTCCAGATCAATTGCATCGGTTTCCATAATCGATGCAATTGCTATCAATTGCATCGGTTTTAATTACCCCTGCAGTGCGCAGTTTTAATTTTTCTTTTAATAAATGGAGCAAATGCATCGGTTATTAAGTAAAAACTGATGCCATTGATAGCCAATTGCATCGGCTATTACTTAACAACCGATGCATTTGCTCCATTATATTAAAAAAAATAAATCTGCTTCAGGTAGTAAGACCTGAAGCGCAATAAACAAATCCCTCCTCTATGGTTCGATTGAAGGAACAAAAGAAGCAAAAAGACCAGCAAATTAAAGAATCCATACTAACCAAAGGAAAAAACATCTCTCAAATATAATTCAACTAAAATTGAAGAAGAATTACAAACTAAAGAAGAATTATGGAATCAATTTTGAAGAAAAAATACATATCCTACACATCAAATTTTAAGAAAAAAGTTGATGGTGGTGAATCGCTGCTACTAGGGCTTCAGATTTGAACTCAAGCCAAACGAACCTGTACTTGCATGCCGTCAAGGAAATCCAGCGGTCAATGGAGTCGACCACACTCTTTGATGACTGGAGCAAGGCGAACTTCTTGTTCTAGATTGCTTTCTGATGGCTCGGCTCGAGGATGAGTTTCGGAGAATCCTAATTGCTCACTCCAACCCTATCTGACCAGATTCATTTGTCGATTCGAGCTCTTCCTCTTCCAACATCGGGATGAGCTTGGGAAAACGAGATGAGAGTTCGTTGACCGACGAATTACAGATCTATGATCAAATAGCTTAATAGGAATTTCAGATCTATGATCGAATAGCTCTTCCTCTTCCAACTCATGCCGTCGGACCTCAGGAACATCACTGAGTAGATGATTTCCTCCGGATTTTGTAAAAGATTTGGGGGAAATCAGATTTGTTTGTGATGTGATGATAAAAAGATTTGGGGGACTTAAGAAGAAAGATGAGAAATGTAAGAGAGGTTCAGGAAGCGTAAAATATACACCCACAGGTTCAGGATCGGTTTTTAAGAACCACCGATGCAAAAGCCCTCCCGTTTAACAACCTCTTTTAAATCGGTTATTCCTAATAACCGATGCAAAAGGTATTTGCATCGGTTATTAGGAATAACCGATTTAGAAGGGTTTCAGCATTTAAATTGATTATTCCTAATAATCGATTTAAATGATAAGCGGTTGGCGAATTTTTTTAGCTTTTAAATCGTTTATTCCGCTGACCGATTCAAATAGGGCGATTTATTTGGTCGTTTTTGTACTAGTGAAAGATATAAGAAAAAACTAGAAAGAATTAAAAAATATTGATGAAACTATAGATAAGCAAGTGGAAAAACTTGAAAGGAAAAAGTAGTTAATATTGGGAGGCTACTAGAAGAAGGGACCCACCTCGAATTGGCTCATGGACTCTATTTCGAAAAAATGTTTACTTAAAAATTATCGGTTTGAAAAAATACTTAATTATAAAGGAACATTTTGAGAATATGCTTTAAGCCAAGATAATAGAAAATATCGAAATACCTTCTAATTTACTGACATTTAATATATATTTTAGGAAAAAGACCATTTAGAGAATAAATCTAAATTATAAAGTACCCGTTGATTATTAGTAGCCTCCCACTTAATTTAAAAAAAACATTTTGAAGACTTATTCATAGTTTATATTATAAAGAACATCAAAATACTCTCTATTTAATTGTCATTTAATATACATTTTTTATAAAGGATTATTTAAGAAACACATCTCAAATTTAAAAGAACCACGTTAGTAATTTTTGTTTATTGAAGATTACTTTGGGAAAAAAACTTATTAGAAAAGACATTTTTTGAAAATTTACTCAAAATATGACAAAATATTTGTGAAAAAGACTATTTGTGGAATAATTTTTAAAAATTGAGAATTACTCATGAAATATCTTAAAATTAAAGACTATATATGAAAAATTACATATAACTGGGAATCATTTATGGAATTGACTCTTTATTCTTATTTAGTGTCATTTCTTCTTATCACAAGAGTAAATGGGTATAAAGTCTATCATATAACCGTAACATTAAGTGACCTAGATACTACGTATGTATAGGAATGGAAAATGTCAGCGGGAGGGGAAACGTTGAAATTTGTAACGTGGATTAACTATGGACTACTTACTTGTTCTTGCAAGTGTTCACGACTCCGTCAAAGATGCGATGCTATAATTAATTAATTAATAGCGAGTATCCTTTTACAATGGAGTGTGTTTTAAACTCCGTTGGACTTTTTACAATTTCTTTTAAATTCTCAAATTGGGTGTGATTTTTTGACACAGACGAACACAAGAACTTTGCCCACATTATATTTAAAAATTTCCAAATATGGTCTCATCGTATTAATATATGGAGTACATAATTATACTCGTTATATGATAAAAGTCCGATGAATCAATCGTAGCATGGGAAATGCACGTCGATTCGTGTGCATTTCTGCGATAGGCCCAATTCACAAATCCACGAGAGTTCTATTTAAAACTAATTGGCGATAAAAAGATAGACCATTAGACTTATGTGTTGGGAATCTTCTTGTGTCTTTTCTCCCGGAGAAACCTCCATAATTTTTTTTATAACTTTATTTTTTGTCCATTCTAGAAAAGTATATCCTTTTACTTCTCATTTACGAAATATGACAAAATTTCTAAGGAGGATATAATTTTTTCTCTTTTGCACCGATTTTAATAATCAAATTTCACTTTTTTATAGTAACCGTGTTGATTTCGTTGTGGGAAATTTATGAGACGTATCGAATAAGATTATTTAATTTTAAAGCTTATGTAAACGGTGTTTGAGACTGTTTTAGAAAATTATTTTCAATTAAGAAATTACTCTAAATAGTAGTAAAACATAAAAAAAATATCAAAAAAAAAATTCTATATTTTATTTCAAAATAAGAGTCTGCATTATGATAACGTGGCACTATATAAAAGCATTTCACAATACTTTTTGGTAATGTATATGACAATATGTATGCATTTTAGCATCTATTTCAAGAATATAAACATGGAAATTCTATTTTGATCTATTTTTAATATTTTGATCTTATATTTTCATATTTGAATATAAACATTTTAGCATCAAGTTTTGCTTTGAACAAAAACACTTGAAATGTTTGAGAACATCTTATTTTTGGCCTCTTGAGAGATAGAGAGAGAGAACCTAAAAAGCACCCCCTTAGTTACTTTTAGAAAATGTTTGGCGTTGTGGTAGATTCTTGAAAAAATAAGAGCAGTGGGAGTGGCGAGATATTTGCCTCCCACGCCCTGTCACGTCATATTTTTGTCTTGCTAAGCATGGTATACTCTTCTCGTGTCACTTGCTTTCCATGGCATATGCGAGGCACACTATTGCATTTTTTTTTCTTGATTTGTTTTGTCAAATAGAAAGAAACTTTTTTGAATTGAAGGCATTATACCTAAAAATTGGTGTATTTTGGCGTTAAAATAACTTTTGTTTGCGTATGTTTTTTTTCATGGTTCAATTGGTAAAATAAAATATTTTTTTAACAATTGTTTTAAAAAACTTTGGATAAAATATATATTTTATACCCTTTATTTTCTTGTCAATTTGCAAATAATAACAATTTAAAAGATATGATCTTTTACAAGTTGTTTGAAAGAGGACTTTTTGGGGACGATGGAGTAATTTTATACTCCATTCGGCCAATACAACAATAATTATATTTTTTTCAATTTAACTTTTCACCATTTCAAAAACTTTACAAAATAAGCAACGATACAAATAATTTATTTTATTAAATATACAATGAAAAAGGAAGCACAAAAAATGTTATAAAAATCTAAAATAGTAACTATGACATTTTTGGGAACGGAGAGAGTATAAACTGTTAAATATATATTCTATATTTAATGTAAATATATTGTTTCCTATTATTGTTTCCTACTTTGTATAGGATTAAGAATCCTTATGTATATATAGACATGTACTCCCACATATTCAATCAATGAAATTAACCATTCTACACGGTATCGGAACCTAAAAATAAAAAACCCTAAACCCCCCCCCCTCTCTCTCTCGTTCGGCCCTCTCTCTCGCTGTCACTCTTGGCAGCGCCGACTCTCCCCCTCGGCGGCTCTCTTCACCGGCAACACCTTCTTCTTCTCGCCGGTCATCTTCTCCCCCTCACCATGGCCGAAAATAGCGAGGTCACTTCCCAAAATAACTCCTCCAAACCTCCTCATCTTGCATTCACAACAGTCTATAGTGTGAAACTTCATGTCCCCGTTCAACTCAGTCTCTCCCAACCTAATTACAAAAAGTGGAGCCGACTCTTCCTTCTTTTGGTTCGGCGGTTCAACCTCAAGGGCTACATCGATGGCTCCGTCGTCCCCCTCTCCGATGACGACAACGAATGGTTCCAACTCGACGCTCTCCTCCAGGGTTGGATCCTCTCCACCATCACCGATGAGGTATCCGATCTGGTCATCTCCTCTGTTTCTACTGCCTCTGCTCTCGAGAAAGTCATCCACGACTTGTTCCACGACAACAAACATGCCCGAGCCATGCAAATTGAGCATGAATTTCGCACGACAGTCAAGGGCAACTCCACCATGGCAGCCTATTGCCAACAACTGCAGAATCTTGCCGACTGGTTGGATGATGTCGATGCACCAGTCTCCCAACACCAACTCGTCCTTCAAATGCTTTGTGGTCTCCCTGCCGATCTCTAGACACAAACATCATTCATGCAGTTTCAGGATCCCATGCCGACGTTTCTGCAGGTTTGATTTGCCCTCATGCTACTGGATCGACAACGGACGAGTTCCTCCGACTCGGGCACCACGGCGTTCCTCATGACCCGAGCCGGCGGCAACCCCCACGACGGCACTCACAACGGTACTCCCGGCGGCTATGGAGGACAGCATGGCGACACAGGCTATGGGGACGGCAACTCCGGTCAACGTGGAGGCTATGGACGAGGACAAGGCAGTGGCGGCGGAAATCGGGGTCGAGGTCACGGACGTCAAAACGGCTCATGACCGCTGCAATCCTACGACAGTAACAATACCTGGAACTCACCATACCCTAACCCTAACCCGGGTCTCTTAGGCCCTCGCCCTACCCACCCCTACCCTGCCCATGCCCACTACACCCTAGCACCCTCCCTCATCCCACCCCCACCCCAAATAGCCACCCGACAGC